AAATTAACAAGATTTTCATTATTTTGTTGGAAATGAATTAAAATACACTAAGCGGATGAATTGGATATTCTTTTTATGATATGGGTGATTTCAACCATCCACTTAATGAAATTATAACATATTTTAGTAGGAGCATTAAACTGCACTCCGTTTCATGAAATGTTAGTTAATGTCAAAAATGACAGATGTCAAAAAATGACAGATGTCATGAAATGACAGATGTCATGAAATGTACAAAAATTATGTCTATATGATTAAATAAAATTAGAATACACTAAGCTGATCCGTTTCATGAAGTGGACATACTTTTTATGAAATGGATGATTACATCAAATAAATACGATATAAAGACTACCTGGTAGTACTTTAACAGTATACTTTAAAAACATTTTTTCAAGATTTGTTATATTTTTTCGATCAATGCGTGAATAAAAAAAAATCTTTCAATTTATGTGTATGCAGTTTTAATTTGTTGTAGTTAGATTCAGTTGGAATAAAGCTGAAGTAAATTAAGAACAATTAACAGAGAAAACATATTTCTTGGTTAGTGTCTGTAAAAAAATAAATAATGAACAGATCAGTTCAGTTTACGGCACAACAAGGAATGTGTTGTTGTGAACTGGACACTGACAAACCGTCTCTGGTACTCGGTAATGAACATAAATAGATAATGTAACAGAATAAAACGATTTATGAGGGGCAATACAGCGTAGCAGAGTCCAATCTTGCCTTTGCCAATAGCCTTATTCTATAAAACCGACAAATTATACCCCTGGCTGCGCTATAGACAGAGAACGAGGAAAATTGCAGTAAGCGTGTAAAATTCTTCCACACTAAAATGTTTAAATCCGTATCTTTCACTGCTTTGCTTCCAGAGGCCAATTTTCCCGTTTCCAATCAGTTTCGCCTTTGCACCGCATTTAACTGAATATTTTCCAATGCTAAAGTACCCTTAATTTTTATGACGCTGCATTTACTGCACCCTGCCATTGTTTCATTTACTTGGAATTTTGAAAGTGGTGATTTTTTGAACAAAAAAATTTAGTTTGTGGCCACTTCCAAATAGGCTGTAAATATTTATTTCAAGGACGATACGACGGTTATTTATTGCACTTATCACTTGGGGGTTTTTTATTTGTAAAACTAATTTGTGGATTGCATCCACTGATGTCTGGCCATGACTAATGGTTAAATAAAAATGTATCTTTACTAAAGACTTACTTACCTACTTGCTTGTTAAAAAGTAAAACATCTGGAAAGAAATATGAAGAAAATAAACAAAAATTATTCTTTTTATATTTTTGGTTTTCAAATGTTTTAAAAAATTTCAATATTTATTTTAAGCAGAGAAATATGTACTTACCTTAATATAAATATACGTTTAATTTTCAGCAAATTGGACTTATCTACGTCTACAAAAAATGCTTTACCTTGGGTAATTTCGCAAAAATTTAAATTTCGCAAAACAAAAATACAGGTCTTTTAATTTGTCAAAACAAACTCACCGAGATTCATCAAAATCTGAGGAGTCAAGGGTCAACCGCTGGCTGACTTGCATGAAATACCTACCTACATACATACCTAGGTAGGTATATTAAGAATATAATTTTCATTTCGGAAAAAACTGCGGATACAAATTGTATCATAAAATGATCCTAAACATTTTGAAGTGGTAACCAGTTTTATTTTATATTAAACAAAATACGTTGCGTATACATAATATGTTACCAAAATAACCGATTGGACGAAGCATTATGCAAGCGTGTGGTATAATATAAATCTAAAAAAATGTATTTAAAAATAAAAATAAAAAGTAAAAACAATAAATAATAACAATAAACTTTTCTTTAAAATTTAATAAAAATTTTGTTCACTTACACAGAGACAATAAAACAGCAACTTTTGATGCGCAGAACAGTAATCCACTTATGTTCAATTTAAACACTCGGATACGTAAACATAATTTTTGGTCGTAGATTTCAAATCCGGGCTCGGTTTAGCTGTATAAGGTCTAAAAAAGTTGTTTCTATTGTCAATCCGATCCGGGGACACACTGTATACCGGTACCAATTGATTTTTAAATTTTTATACAGGGTGTTTCTAATTTTAAAAACTTAAAAATTAAATATCTTTGAATTTTGACCTGATCCAGCTAAACCAAACACGGATTTGTAATCTACGACCAAAAATTACGTTTGATATTTTCACCTCCCTACAGTGTAATTATTGTGCAGAATATATATCACTACATTTCCTGACACTACTTAATGATGTCACAAAACGAACTATTGCAGTTGTCAAAGTACCACACTCAAAAGTCACACTTTGAATACAAATAATTGTGGGTTTATACTTTTCTGAAATTTGTGTAATTTAGAAAACAAAAATACATTTATGCATTAAAAAAATTTAAGAAAATAAGACGAAATTACACAAAATTAAACTACTTATTTAAAAAAATAATACATTATAAGGGTTAACAAAAATTATCTTGAAAATAAAAGACAAAAAATGTATATAGCAATAAGCATTAAGGGTTATAAAAATATGTTACCGAAATAGGTCATTAAAAGAAAAATGTCCTTTTAATTTCCTATACTAATATTAAAATCTAAAACCTAAAACCTTTTAAGACAAGCGTAAAGGCATTTCTAATTATACTTTTTATACTGCCAACACTAATTAATTAATAATTCCAAAATAAAGTTACGTCGACCATTATAAGAATAAAATATTTCAGATACGGTTAGATGTCATTAAAAAAAGTGTTAATGAACCTTAACTGCCATAATATATTTTTTATAAAGTTAATTAACATTAATAACACATTTTAAACCATTACAATAATTATTTTTGCTATCTCTCTAAGCATTGGCTGGGATTTTCGTTTATTGTTAAAATATTGTTTGCATAAAATACAAATTTTATACGCCTCGGTTACCAACAAAGTTTAACCAATTTTATCGTAACATATACCATGTGTCTTGAAATTTGATATTTTATAAACTAGGTTAAAAATTTACATCAACAAGAAGTTTAGTGCCAGTAAATTAAACACAGTAAGCAATATTCAATCCTAAATTTAAAATGCCTTTAATAAATATGCAATAATAATTATTATAATAATTATTATTTTTAAAAGTCAATACAAAGTAATGGTTTTAGTTCAAAATATCTGGGGTTTTTTAACAGCTATAGGTACTTTGACATTTACATTATTTAGACAGTTGTATCTAGCTTAACATGACATTCTTAAAACACTTATATCTAAAAAAATTATTTTGTCTTAAGAATGTTATGTTTAATATCAAATTAGGCGTTTTTAAGACAGTTTTATCTAGTTTAAGTTAACACATCAACTTAAAACACCTTATATTTTAAATTTGAAGTTTATAGGGCAGTTTCATCCAGTTTAAACTTATATAGCCTAAGTTATCATTCTTATAGTAATACATATTTGAAAAGTTTTTAAAACAATTTTTATCTAGCTCGAGCATTCAGTTTAAGTTGGCATATTACAGTTAAACATTTTCATTTGATATTTTAAAATATATAGTATCTAGTTTAAATTGACGATTTTAAAAAGGTTACCTACCTGTTTGCACTGATATTTCATTAGGGTATTCCTTATGTAAGTAAGCTTTAAATTGGTGCAAACATTAAAAATAATTAAAATAATATAATAAAGCCCTTTAAATTTATAATAGATCACTAATTTATTTATTTTTTACAATTTCCTTTTAAAAAATTGTCAATATTTAAGGCTAAAGTTTTCAGATCCACAACAAAACACTTAAGTTTTTCGAGTTTAAAGTATTTTACCTGAAACCTACATCTTGTGTGGTAGATCTCATGTTTTAACGCCTAACACAAATTTGAATCAAAATTTATCTATTTAAAAGAGATTACCTGACTCTATTAATTTCCTCAAAATATTTACTTCATCATTGTATACCTGCTATTTGCCACAATACATTTGCGGTAATGTGACTTTTAAAAATGCATTAATTTTAATAATACAATATTTAAGTTATTAGGCCAATATAATGGATAAGATTACAAAGTAAAATATATTTCGTACCATTAATAAATTATATTTTTGTTTTTTAATAAATATCCAAACAATTACCTTTATTGGCTGTCATGGGAAGCTTAATATGATTTTTTTGAAATTATTATCATAAACGATGTAAAATTGTGGGTAATTCTGTTGCTATAAATTGTAGTTAAATATTCACCATATTTTGCATACATTATAAGTTTATGTTAATATTTTTTATGATTGAAATGGAGTTTTAAACTCCGAGTTTGAAATGCTGTAGTCTTAATTTAAATCTTTATATAAATTATACTGTCATATTCGATTAATCCAATGTTATTTATTGTACTTTTTACTGTTTGGGTGGTCAGCATTATCCTTTTTTAGTTTTAATATGAAGTATATAAAAAGTCTCAATACTTTTGTTTGACTTTTATTAAATGTATTCTATAAACATAACATACATAACTTATACGTAATATGTCGTAATTATTTTTTTATTAGTAATAATTCGCAGAAAAAAGAATTGATGGAAGATAAAAAAAATTATTTGGCATTTGTTTTTTAAATAATATCAACTTGATAACGTTTATCGTTTATTTATATGGGAGAAATAAAAAAAATAGCTAATCAAATGTAAAGCACATTAATAATATAAAACAAAAATGTACTTACCTTAAATTTGTCTCTTATTTTATATGTATTATTGTTAGTTTTGAAAAGAATAGGTACATTCATTAAAATGCTAAAATAATTTTTTATAAAATTCGTTTATTTAGTTTTAGAATAGATGAAATTTACATATTTCATAACAGTCTTAAATATTCATAAATTAAGCTAAATATATACAATACTTACGAAGTAATGACTAATAAGCGTTTAGTAAATAGTACTACAAGTACAATATAAATAAATAAATGTTTTTATATATACAAAAAAGTTATATACAAACAAATAATTAGGTATTACATAGTAATAATCGCAATAATTATACCTAGTGACATTCAATATGCAATTAATTTAAAGATATAATATAGTTAAATAAGTAAAAACAGCCTTTAAGAAGTTTACAGAACTTAGAATTTATACAAAATAAGTTCTAGTTTGGGGTTGAGTATCTGGTATGGTGGAATATACGTGGTGCGGTATTTCGGCCCTGCACGGAGGATACTGCGAGTATTGGGGAGGCCGGCCATCGATGGAAATGTAGCTATGGTTGAGGTGGTCGGAGCCGTAATGTTGGCTGCTGGCGCTGGAGCCGGCCTCGTCCTCGGTGCTTCTGGAGGACTCCCCGGACACGTATGTGCTTTGGGTCGGCGTTGGCGTGAGAGCGGCAGCATGGACGCCCGGCATCGCCGAATATTTGTACCAGGAGTCGGGAGCGGTTGGCGCCGCCGTGTATCTGGCGTTCGTCTTGCACCGGATCTCCGCCTGTTGTTTCTTGCTGCGCCTTGTAGAGGGGTTATTTACGACATCCGGCATCGCGTATCGCAACTTGTCCCAGAAGCGACGTTCGCCATATCTGGTCACGGTGCATGCCCGCAGCAATGCCCTCAGTTCGGGATCCATAGGCTCTAACGGATCGCCGCTAAGTACACAAACTAATTTATGTCGGTGCGCTGAGCGAAGGGCGGTTTGGAGCGCGGCCCTAAAATCTGGTCGCGACCATTCGTTGCAAATAAGGCCGGGCGATACAATAAAGACGACGCGTCTTGATGCATCCGCTGCGCCCATCATCGCATCGGCCAGGTACGAGGCGCCTCCCATGAGGTGAAGGTCTCGGTAATGTAGACATAAAGTATGACCGAACTGTTCTAGTTCAGGGGCGATTACTCTTGAGGCGAGGTCTTCATCTTTGTGACTGTACACCATATAGCAGTCGTAGAGCCTGTCACGGTCGTCGTTGTTGTCGTGGGCGGTGGCGGCATCTTGAAATATTCGAACGCCATATTTGGAGTGAGCCCACAATCGGACGTCTTGGCGGTAGACGAACACGATAGCGGCCAGCAAACATACAATGATAACGGCCACAAGAGTGGCGGCAAGTAACGGAACATAACTGCCACCTAACAATGGATTGTTCTTGAATATTTCGCGCTGTACCACCGAAGTTGCAATTGCATTGTCCGTAATTTCACAACGGCTGATTACATTTGCGACCGTTTCGTCACTATCCGCGCACAACATTTTTGACGGATCACCTCCGGTTTTACGTATCCATGCCTGGAGCCGGTCAAGGGAGCTGCAATCACACGACCACTTGTTGCCGTCCAAAGTCACGTTCGGTTGCGTTCCTGCCTCCTCGTTTTCAGTTAATTGCCATGGTTTCAAATTTACTATTTTGTTTTCGTCGAGCTTTAATACTTTTAGTTTCCTCATTTTCTTAAAAGTTTGGTTACTAACTTGATCTATGTTGTTATGATCTAAATAAATCTCGTTAAGTTTCTCAAGCTGATCGAACTCAAAACCACGTAATTGTTCTAGATGGTTATTTTCTAAATGTAATACTTTAAGCGACTTGACGCCGTTAAATGTTCTGTTGTGAACGGCCTTAATGTTGCTGTTGTTTAAAAACAAAACTTCTAGTTTTTTCTTACCGATAAATACGTGACTGTCGAGTTCTCCCAAGTCGTTGCCGTCTAAGTAGATTTCAGTTGCATCCATAGGTATTCTGTCGGGCACGCTTGTATAGCCTGCATTGCTGCAGTCTACTACATTAGAGGACCATGTGTGATCATGAAAGCACGTACAGTTTGTCGGGCACGTCATCTCACAGTCGCAGGCATCGTATTCGCAGCACTGGCATAAAGCAAAGCAATGTGCCTCGTAGGGACATAAAAAGTTTGACGGTTTCAGGCTCAGCAGGGGCTGGGGAGCGGCTCCCCTCGAGTGTGCCAATTCGCAGGTGACACTATCCAAATCCAATACTTGCGGGTATTTTACCGTAGCATATTGATGCAAATTGTTCAGTTGGTTGATTCTTAGCAACCATTCCATTTTACAATCACAATAAAATGGATTTCCGCCTATATAAAATTGTGGTAGTTCTTTATCACTTGGCTCGGGACTTAGACCGAGTGCTGCCAAATCGAGGTATTTTATTTCATTTCCATATAAAACTACTTTCTCCAAATTCGGTTTATGTAAAAATGTACTAGGTTGAATATTACTTATTTTATTGTTGTTTAAAAATATGGTTTCAATGCTGTCTGGCACGGAATTTTCTTTAATTTCCTTTATGGAATTAAAACTGACATCAAGCATTTTAATATTCAGCGTGTTTCTTACATCGTAATAATTGCCTAGCTCGGGTATTTTGTTAAAATGCATATCAATCCACTCGAGGCTCGCGGGCAAATGACTAAAGTCAAACCAAAGTAAATTATTTGACGATACGTTTAACCAGACCAAACTTTGCAAATTGGTAAATACGCCACTTATGTCTGTCAACTCATTTGCATCCAAACGAATGGCCTTAAGTGTCGGGTTGCTTGCAAAGGCGCTCTGTTCCACATATTTAACTTTATTCGATGCTAAATTTAACACTTGCAGTGACGGAAGTGTAGAAAAAGAGTCTCTTGAAATATTTACGATGTGATTGTCCACTAATCGGAGACCGTAAAGAAGGTCGAGGCCCTCGAATGATGAGTTGGTAACTGATTCGATGCGGTTTTTACCCAGGTCCAGAGTTTTTAAAAGTCTGAGGCTGCCGATACCTGCAGGTACGCCGCCCAATACGTTTCCATTCAAGCCGAGATCTTGTAAATTTGTCACGTTTTGAAATGCCTTAGGATCAATGGATTCGATATCGTTTTGATCTAGTAACAGTTGATTAAGTGCGTACATACCGCTAAAGTGGAATGATTCGATGCGAGTCAATTTATTATGAGACAAAGTCAATGCATGCAGATTTTTTAGTTCTGCGAAAGCTCCTTCGGCGATGAAATTGACAAGGTTGTGTTCTAAATTAAGTATTTGCAAAGTGTATAAATCACGAAAAAGATTTGAATCGATTCTGTTGAGCTGGTTGTGTGCCAAGTTTAACACTACCAATCGCACAAGACCGGAAAATGTATCCCTGTTGACCCAACGGCTTGACAGTTCGTTTCTGGATAAGTCGAGAACTTGTAACTGATCCAAACCTTCCAACAGTCCCGGAGCGAGTACACTTAAAGAGTTGTTGTGCAGATAAAGGTGGCGTAAATCCCGGGAGGATTGGAACAGGTCGGGCGGCAGAGCGACTAGCATGTTACTTGACAAATTTAAAGTTTTTAATGCATTTAAGCCAACGAATGCACGATCACCCAGAGTTGAAATGGCATTATCTTCCAAATGCAGTTCCTCTAAAGTTCTTAATGCAGATAATCCGTTGTCAGGAAGAGATATGATGTCGTTGAATGACATATCGAGCACTTCTAAGCCGTTAACGCAGGCACGGCCGGGAGCTAGGGGCCCGTTTCCCCAATCAGAGAAACCGAGCGCAGAAATGTCCTGGAGTTTATTGCGAGTTAAGTTTAAATGTGTCAAGCTGAAGAGAGGGCAAAATAAGTCCGCGGGCGTACTCCATATATTGTTGTCGCCGAGGTCGAGACTTCGGAGTTCACCCATGCCGCGAAAACTTTCTGCATTTAATTCCAACGACATAGCGGACCATTCGGAGTTGTGTGTACGGAGCGAAAGTCTTCGAAGATGTCTTAAAGGTGATAGCACAGCCTTGGGTATACTACGAATTTTGCAATTTTCCACTTTTAATTCCACCAAACGTCGTAAAGTTGACAAAAAGTTGTTTTCTTTAAACGTATCCAGGGAACTCTCGAAAAATAATTTGTCACTACAGTTCAGTTCGAGCACGGTCACGCGATCAGCCTGAGTTTGAGTCAAGTTTCTCAACAGCGATTCAGCATTGTCAATTTTTCTAAGCTCACAATAAAGCACAGGTTCCTCACCGTTATCAGTGTCGAGCATTTTCCATTTACATCCTCTAGGAGTAATTTCGTAACTAGTCAAACTTTTACAACTCACAGCCGAAATTAACAACGATACACTAAACAGTAGCCAGATCATGTTGAACAGTTTATTTTAATTCATAAGTTAAAATGTCTTTCGTTAAACCATCACAACGTTTGTTTTGCGCGTCTACAAGTGTTTGTAAACTGTCGAGACTACACGTACGGAGCGGACCGACAGTTCGAATGCATGTACACTTCTCAACGTAGCTTACGAGACTGAAGTGGTGAACTGTTGCTTTCCGACGGGTGTTGTAAGGGTCATGGCTCCGCCTATCTTTGCCCCCTCTACCGAATAAATATCAGGATGCCAGCTGTAAACTCAACGCTGAATGGAGAATGTCACGTGTTGTATACCAAATTGAACAATGTGCAAATTGAAATCTACCCCCTCCATACGTTATAAATGTTATCTTAGTTTATAACAATTTAAAAATATTATTTTCGGAAATAAAAAATTTAAAGAAAAACAAAAACAATAATTACTTTATAATACCAATAATATAAAAAAAACTATGTCCATCATAAAACAAAGGTATATATATAAAAAATAATATAAATTTCGGAGTAAAAAATAAATTTTATCGCCTGTACCAGAACAGTACAAAAATAATCAAATAAAATTTTCTTTGAGTAACTGGTAATTGTAAAATAAAATAAATAAAAATATTTTATATTTTTATTATTTTTATATTTATATTTACTTGCATTATAAATTTATATTTATGATCACACGCATATTTTTATATCGATGACTTTCTGTCAAAGTATCGCAAGCAAAATAACTCAAATTTCGGGAATTGAAATAGTATATTAAAGTACAAGTTGCAGAAGGCCACATATTCTCGCACGAATTCGAAATTTGGCCTCGAGCGACGAAGGAGCGAGGGGACGAACGAATGAGTGCGAGAATAGCCTTCTGCAACGTGTGATTTATACTATTTTCTCGATTTTAACTTTTATTTAGGTTTTTTTAATTGTTTTGTGGTCGTTGTTAGTTGGGGGATTTTTCTCGCAAAATGTCAGTTGGCAACACAAAATGACAATATTTGTTATCCTGCACAAGTAGAACCTGAACTGCACTTTTTCACATTAAACTTAAAATTTTGCATTAAAATGCATTGCTGGAGCAAACTTAATATTACAAAACAATAATAAAGGCTTCATTTTCAATAAAAGTGTAGTTCAGGTTGCACTAGTGCAGGATAACAAACAAAGCTATTATAAATAATCCTAAAAGTAATGAATTTGAGGTTATTAAACAGTTTGACATTTTGGGGGTACCAATACATAAAAACTAAATGTTACCAAAAATCGTTTAAGAATGAGCTTCATTCTTCAACGATTTTGCGTGCGAGAATATGACATTCTTACATAAAAATCGAGAAACAGTTTTTTATAAATCAGGTATAATGATAAAAACAAAAATAAATAAATAAAGTTCATTAAATAAAAAGCTTTAATAATACTTTTTACAAACATTATTCCTAGCTACTAGTAGATGAAAAATAATACTAAATTTAGAAAATCTCTCTAAAAATTTGTAGAGGGATTTTCTAAGTGTTTCTGTTGAATTTGTGAAAATTAATATTCAGATTCGGATCTGGATCTGATTTCATCCTAAACTTACTTTTTTCTAGTCAGTCTTTTTTACTCCTTTTATTGTTTTTTTGTTTTTTATTAAAAATAATATTTTAGTTGTTATTTTCTATTGGCTGTTGTAGTTTTTTAATTTGTTTTGTTTATAGTTGCAAAATCAAAATATGATGTGTTCATATTCATAAACTAAAAAAACTTGCTATTGTGATAGCAACTTCCATTGAATAGAAGATAAAATTTAAATACAAATTTACATATATATTTTTAATTATCTAAGCAGAAAATAGTTATAATAAAAAAGAAATAAATATCCAAATTTTAATATACATATGTATATATCGATATATATCAGATATTTGGATATTTATATAAATATCATGTTATTTGCCAGACCTGGTTAAACATACTTTATTTTTTTTAGTTTTCTAAATTAAAGTATGCAACTCGTTTTATAAACTTCTTTAGACACTCGCTCGTGCCTAATTAAACTCGTAACTAAAATGTCGTTTATAAAACTTGATGCATAATATACCATTTCTTTATTGTTGGTGTATATTATAAATAAAAAAGAAGTATGTACTAAAAATATTGTTTTATTTACCTGTGGATGAAGATTTTTTAACATTTTTGTTTGATTTTATATAATATATTATTTATTTATGCTGAAATAAGTATTTGTAAAGTGTCCATTTTAAAAGTTACAATATTTTATAAAACAATTTTATATTAATAAATTTAATATTCAAATAAAAAAAAAACATTGATATTTTTAAAAGTATATAAATTAATTAATAAATAATATAAATATGTTTTAATAAATAATATAAATAAGTTTTCCTTTCCTTTTAACTTACAATTATATCTTTAAAAATAAGTCGCTTTAAAACAGTCAGTAAATTCTACCATATTTATAGATAAATAAGTATATATTACTTTATTTAATACCGTAGTAAAATAAAATCTAAAAATTTCAATTAAATAAAACCAATGAAATTTTATTGAAACTATATTTATTTTAACTATATTTTAGTTAAAATAACATAGTTTTATAAAAATGTTTCTTTATTTTGACTGCAACTATCTAGTGAAAACAAAATAAAATTTTAGTAAAAACGAAAAAAATACTAGAACCATTAAAATTTGTAAATAAGATATTCAAAATAGTCATTTTTTTTGGGACCATAATATTAAGATAAATATTTCCACAAAATATGTTTATATAAAATACTAATTTGTCAAAATAAATTATAACAAATATATAATAGGACTAAATACTTGAAGAATTGGAAAAATACATATTTGTTTCTTCTTTCAAAACAGTCAGTGCCATCTTCTGGTTTACGTCGATTAAAAAAAAATCAAAAGATCTTAAACCAGGTAAAATTCGGTTTGAAAAAGCAATAAATTTTGTGGCCGATTTCTAAAAGGCAAATGTATTGACACAAACTGTATTTAAAAGAATTGTGGTGAAATTCTGCTTTATTCGTACCCTACAATAAAAATATTTCTTACAGATACCTTGAAGAATTCGATTTTTCCATCTGGCAAAACAAAACTTTTATTTTTATAAGCAGTGGACCTTTAAAAATAAATTGTTATTAAAATAATAAATATGTATATTAATATTTATATTTAATAAAATAAAATTTATTTTAATGTTCCTATTAAAAAATCTTATTTTAAAACTAAATAATTTAAAAAAGCGAGGCTTATGTCTTCCATGCTTTCTAAAACAAATAATTATAATTTGTTATCTTATAATATTATATATAATATCAAATCACAGTGTATATTAAAATAGGCCAATCATTGATGCCTAAAACGTGAATAATGAGTTTATTATTCCCGTTGTTATGCAGGATTTATAAAGTTTATCATTATGTACGCAACAAACAAATATTATGCAATAGGAGTAGATATATCTACTCCTATTGCATAATATTTGGTTGTTGCGTACATAATGATAAACTTTATAAATTTCCTGCATAACAACGGGAATAATAAATTCATTATTCACGTTTTAGGCATCAATGATTGGCCTATTTTAATATACACTGTGATTTGAACCAATCGGGTATTAAATTGGGACAAGGCGACTATAATAATAAATATTTAAAATTGGTCAAAAGTGGGGTTAACCAATTAAGTTCTAAAACAGCCAGTCAGTGCCATCTTCTGGTTTACGTTGATTTAAAAAAAAATCAAAAGATCTTAAACCAGGTAAAATTCGTTTTGAAAAAGCAATAAATTTTGTGGCCGATTTCTAAAAGGCAAATGTATTGACACAAACTGTGTATTTAAAAGAATTGTGGTAAATTCTGGTTTATTGGTACCCTACAATAAAAATATTTCTCACAGATACCTTGAAGAATTCGATTTTTCCATCTGGCAAAACTTTTATTTTTATAAGCAGTGGACCTTTAAAAATAAATTGTAATTAAAATAATAAATTTGTATATTAATATTTATATTTAATAAAATAAAATTTATTTTAATGTTCATATTAAAAAATCTGATTTTAAAACTAAATAATTAAAAAAAACGAGGGTAATGTCTTCCATGCTTTCTCAAACAAATAATTATAATTTGTTATCTTATAATATTATATCTACTCCTATTGCATAATATTGGGTTGCGGACATAATGATAAACTTTATAAATTTCCTGCATAACAACGGGAATAATAAACTCATTATTCACGATTTAGGCATCACTGATTGGACTATTTTAATATACACTGTGATTTGAACCAATCGTGTATTAAATTTGGAGAAGGCGACTATAAAAATATTTAATTTTGTAAATAACCAAGTAAACGTATTAGAATACAATACAATACAATTTAAGATAAAGTTAATACAAAGTATTAAAGTATATATTTTATATTATTAGTAATTAAACTAAGCGATTAAAAATTATATAATATAAGAATTACATGCAATAAAGTGTCAAACTTGTATATGTATATATATATATATATATATATATATATAATATATTCTTTGGGATCAAATAACCTTTTAGTAAAAAAGGTCACAATTTAAAAATTAATTTATTTATAAAAAGAAATAGTATAAATCTTTTAAAATAAGTAAGACGTTCTAAAACAGCCAGTCAGTGCCATCTTCTGGTTTACGTCGATTTTAAAATAGACCCAAGTAAATTCATCTTTTGAATAAATAAATATTAATAAACTGCCGGTAAAATGTAGGAGATGTTAAAAGATTTTTTAATTATATTTTTTATATAAAAATTCCTTTTATAAATACAATACAATTCGGTTATGTGATATATTACACGCTGGAAAAACAGATATAGGTATAATAGATATAATTCTGAAAGAAACTTTTACAAATTTTTGATTATAGTGTAGGCAACCAATATTCCCTATTTTTGCTGGCACCAACCCTATTACTGTGGTAAAATAAAAAAACATTAACAATCAAACATAAAATGTCATTATAGTAAAAATGTATGTATTAAGTATAAAATTAATAATTAAATTAAATTAAAAATAACTCAAATATTTAACCAAAATTTCACCATTCATATAATTTTTTTGCAAAAAATACAAAAAATTGTTTAGCT